CCCCCCGCCGCTCTCTTCCTGCCGTGCCATCCCCCACAGTGCTACCTGAAGAACCGTTCCTCTCTCCTGCAGGACATCATGAGCTTCCTTAAGACCATTCGTCAGGCGGAGATTGAGGACCGTGCGCCGGTCTTCTCCTGCCATCCCCACCACACCGTCGGCCACGTCGTTCGCCTTCTGTCGGCCACCCGCGCCCACCGCCTGTTCGTCGTCGACGCCAAGCAGGCCCCCCTGCGTGTACGTGCCTCCCTCTGATTCCCGGTGCTTTCGCATTCTGCCCAGCCCTTCCCGCATCCTGACATCTCCCCCCCTCCCCCCCCCCCTCCTATCTCTCTCCCCCCTCCATGTACCCAGGTTGTCTCCATTCGTGATGTCCTGAAGCTCGCCCTCGACCATTAGGTTTGCCCTATGAGACCTCGCAGTCCTGCTGCTTGTGCCCCCCCCCCCCCCCTCTTCCCGTCTCCACCAATACATAGTTCGTTTTCCGTGCAAGACACAACTCGGTTGCTGGGTTGTCCCTTGCTGCCTGCTCCCCCTTCCCCCGGCTCCCGGTTTCCTGTCTCTGAGGGCAGTGATTGATAAATGCCCGCATCTAGGCTCACATTGCCGGGTATGGTAAGGTAGTGTATGCGGAGTGGCGGATCCGTGTATTTTTTTTCTTGGAAAACTCGATGATAGTGGCCCAGAAATCGGCACGTATATAATATGCATCTCTCTCTGTCCATTTTTCCTCCCTCTCTTTCTCCCTCACTCTCTCTCTCTCTCAAGAGAGGGGAAGGCAGTATCTGAAAAGAGACGAGAGGAGGAACATTTCGCCGCAAGGGACGGATATCGGGGGGAAAAGGCCGGAAACAGGGGCGGCGGCGGCGGCGGCGGCGGGGCAAAGCAAGGAGGGCAGGCCCGGACAAGGATGTGAAAAATCACATTTCGCCATTGAACCGACGGAAGCTGTTCCGAAGGAAGGCCATCGGGCTGGAGTCGATCCCTGTCGCCGAGGATGACTGCGCGGAATCCACGCCGCCGGCATCATCCACGTCGGCCAGGAATCCGGACTGGTTGAAGTACGGTTGGTCAAAGAGCGGGGGGGTCAGGTGCTCGAAGTCCTCCTCCTCCTCCTCCTCTTCCTGCTGAGAATGATACTGCTCAGTACCCTGGTCCTGCATGGGCATGGGGCTGCCGGTCGTCGGCAGGGCCGGGGTCGATTGCATGAGGCCAGGCTCCTCAATGTGGCCAGCACAGACGGGGCACTCCTCCGAAATGACCCCGCTGTCATGGCCGGCGGAGGTTGACAAAGCCGACAGGAAGAGGCAGCTCGGGTGGAAGACGTGCTGACCGGGACCGGTGCCATGGCATCCGCGCGGCAAGACCAGCGCCCTGGCGCTGTCGAACTCCAACACACCCAGGCACATCATGCACCGGGGCGGGTGCCGGCCATCGGGGAAGAGCATTTGCAGAGTCCCAACGTGGACCCGTGTGCGCAGGTCGTCGCTCAAAATGCCGACATCCTCCTCGTCAATCTCCATCTGTCGGCTGGGGTCGACCATGGCCTCTGGCGAGGGCGGGTGGCTGAAGGGCCGTGTGATGGCAGCGGCCCCGGCCGGAGCCGCCGACGTGGCGGCCACATTGATGGCCGGCAGGGGGGCCTGCTGGTGGATGCGCGTGGCCGCCGCTCCGGGAGTCGTGGTATCAGTCATCCCCCCATTGCCGAGAGAGGCCGTGGACGAGGACTGGGAGATGCGCCAGCCGCTGCCGATCTCGGTGGAGCTGAGCACCGGCTCCAGAGGAATGCCAGTCGAGCTGGAGGCGTTGGGCCCTCCTCCTCGGGGGCTGGCGGCCGCGGCCCGGGGGCTAGCTGGGGCCCATGGGCTGGCCGAGCTCCGAGGGCTGGCAAGGGCATGGTGCATGGTGACCCGAGATGGGGCCGTCGCCCCGGCGATGGTCGCCCCCAGGGACACTGGGCGGCTGTTGGCCGGGCCCCCGCGGACGAGGAGATCCGCAGAAGAGGACGACTGGGACACCGGTGACGGGGGCCAGCGGTGCTGCTGTTGCTGGGGTTGCTGCGGGGGCTGCTGCATGCGCTGTGACTGCCGCATCAAATGGCTGGCCCCGCCCCCCATCGGTGACACCGGCATGGGACTGCCGGCGCCGCCGGTGCGTGCGAGGCCCTGCTCCACCTCGGCCAGGGTCCGTGGAAGATGGAGGCCGCTGCCGGAACGGCTGAGGTTCGACTCCGAGCCCGAGGGAGTAAGGGTCAAGGCCTGGAAGCGAGACGTCGCCACAGCACCACTGCGTGGGAGACCCCCACCGCTGCCGCTGCTACGACCACCAAGCGAGGACGACTCACTCAGGGACATGGATGACATGCGCATCAGATCCGAGTCGGACTGTGTCACCGTGGAAGGGATCCATGACAAAACCGGCGGAGGGGAGGCAGGGAGAAGCGTCAGTGTGTGTGTGTGTGTGTGTGTGCGCGCGCGTGCGCGTGCGCGTGTGCGTGTGCGTGTGCGTGCGCAAGAACAAGGGGATGGGAAAATAGAACACCGGAAGCTCGGCCGAAGAGGCCCGGGTATCACACCACCCTCCTTCCCTCGTTCCATGCCTGGCTCTCGCACGTACAGTTTGGAGAAGATGGTCCAGGAATTGGTCGACCGCGCTCTGGGCAGGCACCGCGCTCGGGTCGCTGCTCGCCACTGCCGGCGAACGGGACGAGTCGGCCAGGTGGCCATTGTTCAACTGCCGGTCCAGCTGACGGGCATATGCGCGGTCTCGCATCTCAGCCAGGGCACGAGCGCGGGCTGCTTGCTCCTGTTCGCGGCGGAGCTTGCGCTCCAGGTCCTCGCTGGCCATGCGAGCCCGCTCGCGGGCCGCCTGCTCGCGAGCAATCTGCTCATGGGGCCGGGTGACCACCGAGCCCGGGACCGAGGGCCCGCCAATGTACTCATGCTGCGACACCGCCGGGCTGTAAAGAGGCGGAGTGGCACGACTGGTGCTTGGAGGAACTCGAGGAGCCGGTGCGACAGCCCGCCGCGGAGCCGTATCCCGAAGCTGTTCCGGACTCACAAACCCCGGTTGCTGGTACTGATGGTTGTGATACTGTGGCTGATGGCGGGACTGCGTTTGGTGGCGCGAGCTCGGCCGGTGCGACTGCTGGTGCGAGTGCTGGTGCGAGTGCTGGGGCTGCTCAGGCCACATGAATCCCGGGCCCGGGAGGGCACCAGACTCCATGGTCTCATCCCGGGAGAGAGACAGACGCCGACGGCCGGCGCGAGGTGGGGGGGCCAGCAGCTCGTCGCTGGAATCGGCATCAAGCACCGGATAGCGTTGAGGGACCCCGGGCTCGGGCCGGCTAACGAGCGGCGGGGTGCGACTTGTGCGCCCAGGCTGGGGCGACGTCGGCATGGCCACCAAGGCCGGCGACAGGAGCTCAGTCGCGAAGCCAACCCCAGTGCCCGGTCCAACGGCCGCATGGAGATCTTCGGCCCGGCGTCGAGCCTGATGCACATCGGTCGGAATCATGGAGACCTCCAGCGGCGCAGCCAGGTCCGACTCCAAGAGGTGGTCGAAGGAGGGCGAGGTGTTTCCCGCACGCGAGTGTGCGTACACCTTGGTGACGTCGCGCTCGCCACGGCGGATGGCGTCGGTCCGAGCGTCGGCGTGTTCACGCGCACCAGCTCGGGCCAGCGCCACAGCCAAGGCGAAGTCATTGAGGCCCTCGGAGCCGGACATTTCTGGCAGCGGAGTATGCGAGATGGGAGGCGAGCTTCAAGACCAGCCGCCCGAGTGCATGCGGATGCGTGTGCGTGCGCGTGTGAGTTTGCTAGAAGCAACAAGAGAATGCTGAGCACGCTTGCGGGCGGAACGAGGGGGGGGGGGGGAGAAGGGTCTAACGAACCGACTGAGCAGGGACGATCACAGGCCAGCTGTAAGCGGGGTGGAGGAGTAAGGAAGAGACACTGAAGTAGATATAGCGTGCGATCTGGAGAGGCAACGCAAGCGTGAAGGGGGAGGGGGGGGGGGGGAAGGATGGCAGCGCAGGGAAAAGGAGGTGTCCTATGCTCGGGGAGGGCGGGCGCTTCGTGGCGCCGGTGCGGCAAATAGTAGGCACGCAGAGATCCGGTCTTGCGTCGGGATTGCCTCGATCTCCCTGGCCCTTCCTCTGCATGCGCCGTACACGCCTCGGCATTCAGCCGTTTGGGAGCGCTGAGGGCATATGCAGGTCGTGCCCCAGCTGGTGCATGGGATGGTGGTGCCCAAGTCGCAGAGCCTCCTTCCCTGCCCGTCCCCACCACCACACGCCCAATGTGTGTGTGTGTGTGTGCATGCGCGGGAGAACGACCACCCACAGGGGGGGGGGGGCGGGGGCAGCCATCAGTTCTCCGGCAGCCCTTGCCATGGTCGCCACACTTGCATTCATCATGCAGCCTCGGAGCGGTTCTCCGAAGCTGATTCATGAAAAGGCCAGTGTGACTCTCTCTCCCCGTTCCCTCGGAGCACAGGGGGATAGACGTTGCCGATGGATGGCCGTAGCAAGGAGCAGGTGTGGTGATCGTTCTTCAGATGGCCCCTGCCCGCCGCGATTTTCCATGCCTCGGGCACCCTTTCACCCTGCAAGCGGGACTCGAGGCGACTGTCAACGCGTCCCCTCGAAGATCTCGGAGTGAGTCCCAAATAGGCCCCTCCTCCTCCTGCTCCTTCACACTGAGGGAGAAGACCTGCCCTGCCGGCCTCCTGAGCACGGATCTCCCCTGAAACCGATGGCCGGGGGTGAGACCCCCCGCTGGGGGGGGGGGGGGGGGGGGCACTCGAGGGGAGCCATTTTTCTGTTCGCTGGTGGATCGGGCGGGCCCTGATCGGCATGGCCTGGTCCGGCCCGGACTGGCCCGGCACTGCCCTCGGCGCCCGGGCCCCGGAAGACGCCAGGGACCTCTGAGTTTAGATATCCTGGTCCCTGCGGCCAGGGAAAAGAAGTAGGTCAGCACTTAGGCCGTTGGATTAAAGACTTCCAGAGAATGTGATTGTGGGGAAGGAGGGAGGAGGGGGCAAAACCGGAATATCGAGCCCCGCCCCGGCGGCGCAAGAGCACCCAAGCACGATCGAGCCCCACTCTGACCGTCTCTAA